TTATGCCCCCCCCCCCCCCCCCCCCCCCCCATTTGGCACAAAGAGATGACGCCTGAGGCAATGGCCACTTGCTGCCTCATTACAAGGACAGCCCTGTTGGCCTTCATTCAACCCGGAGGATGGGTGACATCTAGTGGCGGAAAGCAATTATTACAAGGGACAGATTCAGACTGAAGGTAAGTATTGTAGCAAAAGCTGCTTTTTTATTTTTGCTTTTCCTTGGCGATTCGTTCTCATTGTTTTGTTTGTTCAATCTGGTTGTTTAACTGCTAATTGCGGCAGCTTGCTATCAATACCCAGCCCACGGCATTGCCTGTAAATCTACATCAATAACATTCCACCCTGCCGAGGTCACTGAGGAGCGGAGGAAGCGACAGTAAAGAAATGAAAGTGACATTAAGGAGATGGATTCACCTTCCATGGGGCTGTTGGCATCCATTCGATTCGCAAACACGATATCGACGTATTCCAACTGCAGCCGTTCCAGGGACCCCCGGAGACCTGTGGGGCAGGAAGGAGCAATTAGAGACGGATCAGGAGAGAAATGAGAACCTGAACAGAGACACAAAGACAAAAGACTTAACCACACAATGGTGCCGCTGTTTCCATTGATATGATACAATATATTCTGCATGACACCATTCATTGTCTGGGATACTGCAGAGCGAAGAAAGGGGGCTGCAGGGGGGGTGGAGGAGGAGAGCACATGTTAGTGGAGGAGGTCAGGAGGGGACTCCCATAGGGAATAGACCATCAACCATTCCCCTAGTACTGTATGGTCTTCTCACATTACAAAGACCTTCTCAATTCAGTATTTTGCAACACATCAGCACTCAAAAAGAAAATGAGGTTTGTAGAAAAATATAGTTTAAACATAGGGTTGCCACCTGTCCAGGATTCACCCGAACAGTCCGGGTTTTGAATGCTGTGTCCGGGTTTCATGGCAGCAGAAACCCGGACACAAGATGTCAGGCAGACGGGGACAACCAAAATGAAGATGGGGGCTACTGGCCCCCCACTGAAAATAGTCTCAACTATGATATTTACATATGAACATGAACACGCCACGGCTCATTCTCCCCAAAAAATGTCAGCGTGTCGCTAGAGTGTTCGGGTTTCACTTGAAGAAAAGGTGGCAACCCTATTTAAACACCCTAATATCACCGGCACATGACATATTGATATTCATGAGATCACAGCCTGTCCATTCACTAGAGACCAGTGACATCACCGACACTTCATATACATGAGAACACAGCCTGTCCATTCACCAGAGACCAGTGACATCACCGACACTTCATATTCCTGAGAACACAGGCCGTCCATTCACTAGAGACCAGTGACATCACCGACACTTCATATTCCTGAGAACACAGGCCGTCCATTCACTAGAGACCGGTGACATCACTGAGAATGCAGCCTGTCCATTCACTAGAGACCGGTGACATCACTGAGAATGCAGCCTGTCCATTCACTAGAGACCGGTGACATCACTGAGAATGCAGCCTGTCCATTCACTAGAGACCGGTGACATCACTGAGAATGCAGCCTGTCCATTCACTAGAGACCGGTGACATCACTGAGAATGCAGCCTGTCCATTCACTAGAGACCGGTGACATCACTGAGAATGCAGCCTGTCCATTCACTAGAGACCGGTGACATCACTGAGAATGCAGCCTGTCCATTCACTAGAGACCGGTGACATCACTGAGAATGCAGCCTGTCCATTCACTAGAGACCGGTGACATCACTGAGAATGCAGCCTGTCCATTCACTAGAGACCGGTGACATCACTGAGAATGCAGCCTGTCCATTCACTAGAGACCGGTGACATCACTGAGAATGCAGCCTGTCCATTCACTAGAGACCGGTGACATCACTGAGAATGCAGCCTGTCCATTCACTAGAGACCGGTGACATCACTGAGAATGCAGCCTGTCCATTCACTAGAGACCGGTGACATCACTGAGAATGCAGCCTGTCCATTCACTAGAGACCGGTGACATCACTGAGAATGCAGCCTGTCCATTCACTAGAGACCGGTGACATCACTGAGAATGCAGCCTGTCCATTCACTAGAGACCGGTGACATCACTGAGAATGCAGCCTGTCCATTCACTAGAGACCGGTGACATCACTGAGAATGCAGCCTGTCCATTCACTAGAGACCGGTGACATCACTGAGAATGCAGCCTGTCCATTCACTAGAGACCGGTGACATCACTGAGAATGCAGCCTGTCCATTCACTAGAGACCGGTGACATCACTGAGAATGCAGCCTGTCCATTCACTAGAGACCGGTGACATCACTGAGAATGCAGCCTGTCCATTCACTAGAGACCGGTGACATCACTGAGAATGCAGCCTGTCCATTCACTAGAGACCGGTGACATCACTGAGAATGCAGCCTGTCCATTCACTAGAGACCAGGGACATCACCGACACTTCATATTCATGAGAACGCAGCCCGTCCATTCACTAGAGACCAGTGGCATCACT